AAGTGGGAGAACTTGCACAATTGGTGGCTGACTAAATACTTTTTTGCCCCACTGTAGATTAAGTCCTGATTCCCATTCACCCACGGGGTTCCCAAATTAGACATAGGTTAGCCCAGAGGGTCAAAATCTGCCTCTGGCACTGCTTCCAATATAACAAATAGAGCGTTAGTCTCATTAACATGCAAGATAGTAATGAATTCCCATTAATGGACCATGCATCCTATACTAGGTCTCCTTTCATTATAGCATACTTGCACAGTTTCTCCCTTGTGACTTGAGAGCTGCTTTAGAGCACTGGGTTGAAAAGGCAAGATCAGGAACTGATATGAGCATTCACCATGAGAGGACTAGGGTAGCTGAGGTTTCTTGTACTGATAATAAATGCCATAGTGTTCTGTTGGGCTTTCAACTGGTGGGTCAAGCCCAAACTGAGTTCATGAACTAGCTGAAGTGGATCATGCCGTGGCAATAATTGTTATCTTTTTTCTGTTGCCTTTAATTTTGTTATTATTCTTTTAAAAAGGGAATATAATAGGAGAGAGAGGTACAATTATGTAGAAATGCATAGGCAGAGGCAGAAAGGGAGTAAGTGTGAAGAAATTATTAAAAAATGAAGAACTGAATTGTTTGCAGTTAAACACTCTCCAAATGGTTGGAGACTGCTATACAGAACTAATTGAACTAGTCAGCTTTCAGGTGTTGGCATACGAAAATGTGGTAGTTGAGATGAAACCTTTAAGCTATATTTCTTCAGATCACAGGATTGGAGGCAACCCAATCAATCATTCTTCTCTAACTCACCTGCTCTTAAAGTAGGATCTCAATATATGTCACACTTACCAGATGTTTGACCAGCTTTTCACGACAAACCTCATTGGAAGCAGATTTTTATGCAGGTGGCTTTTTGGAAGAATTCTGAATGTTAAAGTGTTGTTGTGTACTGTTCAAGCTGTTGTCACTTCCCAGAAAGCCTACAGCAGTTCCATTTCCTTCATCTTACACATTCCTTCTCAACATTCAACCTTTTCATGAAATATTTGGCCCTTAGCTGAAGTAAAATCTTAAGTCCTTGCTACCTCATTTGCCAGCCACACCCCCCTCTATTTCCCTGAACTTGTCTAAAGTTGAAGTGGAAGCTGAATTTGGCAACATATTGGCTGTTGAATCCCCAAAATAAAATTAAATAAAAGTTCTGAAAAATATCAAAGCCTTTTAGAAGCTGGTCTGAAAATGTGGGAATTGCATGAGCCTTGAGTTTGTTTTTTTTTGTGTGGTGATACTTGAGGTTGGTAGAAAAAAGCTTGCTAATGCTTGGTTAAAACTCTCATGTCAGGGATGAACACAAAGCAGACAGTTTAATTTATTTAATAGATTTGCTTACTTAAAGAAGATGAGTAGCTAAAATTAAAAAGGCTTTTCAGAGAGGTGCCATTCTTCAACCTTAAGTAAAACTATTAAAACTATTATTTCCACTTAGTGAAATATGACTGACCTCAGGCATCCATGGGCAGGGTGGTAGTCAGAAAGTGAAGACAGTGGCTGGGACACACATTCCATAAAAAGAGGTGGGGGGTTGATGATGCAGTTGCAGCCACTAGCTTGACTTTTTTCATTTCCTTGTGGGACCCCCATCTGACAAACCCTCTTTGTTCACAAGGAGTTGCTATCTTTTTTGGTGTGAATGTGCATGTTCTACTTGTGCCACATGAAATAAAAAACCAGGCAGAATGTGGAGATAAGCATTGTCCGTACTGAAAATCAGACACAAGAGTGAGAAGCCATGAAGGAACCGCTTCCTGCATGCTTCAGATAGACTTTTTGTTGTTAAAAGAAGTCAAGAGAATTTACATAAATATTTCTAAAATGACATATAGAATGGAAAAATATATCTTTTGTTCCCTTTTACAGGGCAGACAATTTAGAAATATATAAAATAATACAATTGATTAATCACTTTTGTTATCATACAAGTGGTGGAGCCTGCTTAGAGGTCTAGAAAATATAATAAATGTATCTTCTACAAAGAGGTCCAGTCAATGAATAGGACAACAGCAAAGATGGGATATTGCGTTGTGTCCTTGGGGCTCTTCAGTGGCATCTGGTTGGTCAGTGGACTAGATGGATTAATAGAAGGTTTACCCTATTGAATCAGAAGGGGTCATTTTCTAGAGCAGGGGCACATAACTTCCATCTGTCTGGGGGCAGCATCCAGCTTTACAGAGCCATTCTGAGTGCTATTCTTGAAAAGTGGGCAAGCCAATATCCCAAAGTTTAGAGGGGCTACAGCTTTTGAAGCAGTTAAATGGTGCCTTATGCAAAGCTCAAAGCATTTATCTTACCCTTAGAGTCCACCCAAATCCCCCAAATGGGGGGGGAAATTTTTGCACTCCATTCAGGAATAATGTAAACATAAACCACAAGCCTGAGACATGCCATAACTGTTGCTTTAGGTGAAGGTCAGTGTTCTATCCAAAATGCAGCAAGCGTGGTAAGCTTTGGGAATGTTACTTTTCTTAATCTTTCCTTGGATTCCTTTGAGAGTCTCTTTGTGCCAGCCTTGTTCTGCTCTCTTCTTACTGTGATCTACTATTGGTGCACTTGGCTAGAAGGAAGTGCACAGAAAAAAGAATGGCACTTTGCAGATGGTATACCCATTTTAGAAAGCAATCAAGGTTTATAAAGAAAGCAGAAAAAAGATAATCACTAACTTTTAGAGTCACTGTACTGGCATCACAGTATAATGACTTGGTGTGCTAGATGTCACCAGCATGAGGATCCTCTCTTGCTGAGCTTAATTCTGCTCTTGGACCTCCTTGACTCCCTTTTTGTATTGCATTCAATAAGTTATTTACACATTTTGTATAAATCTCTTCTTTTAGATAATAGGGATTCAGTTTAAATTATTCTAATTAAAATAAATAATACTCCAGGTAAGGGAGTATGGCTTTCTGTACTAGTTGGCTTTGGGGTTGGAAGTTTTTTATGTTGTTTTAACAAGCTTTTATGATCTGAGAGCAGGAACAAACAGCTTATATCTTCCTTGTGTGCGTGGGCAGGGAAAGGAGTGTAAATAGTACAAGTGGTAGTAACTGGTCTCTTTTGCACTTAAGATGAAATAGTTGGGAGTGATTTCTGAATTTTGGCAGAACGTTTCACATGTGCTAGTATGGTGGTTTGGGCAATATGTTTGATTACATGAGAAAACCTGGACTGACACATAGCTGTGTTGGGGATAAAGTTCTAATACCATGGTCTAAAATACTGCCCTCATCTGTAGGAGAGCCATTGAAATTGTGGAGTCGGATGTGAAGAGACAAACTATACTTAAACTACTGCCTGCCTGTAAGTAGATTTTTCTCATTCTCTACTTTATGCAGATCCCATACTTTTATGCAAAGCTACTATGTTATCTTAAGTATTTTCCTAATCCTAGTTTGGCAGCATTTCTTCCAGAAAAAAAGTTTAGGCCATACCGGGGGGATGGAAATGATAATAAAGTTGGCTGGCACAAATGTATTTTCTCCTCCCTCACTACAAAAACATCCCTGTAAAAGAAGACTACACTTATTCCCTCTTTTCTATACAGTGGGGCAAAAAAGTATTTAGTCAGCCACCAATTGTGCAAGTTCTCCCAGTTAAAA